GGCGGACGCGGCCGCGGCCGCGGAGGCAAGAGTCCCCATCTCGCCTTCAAGCGCGTTCAAGCGCCCTGCGAGGGCCGCTTGCGAATTGGCGGCCACAGGGATGTCCCCAGGCCCGTCGCTTCCGCGCCACGCGCGCGCCGCCTCCGCCTCCTGCGCCACCTCGAGCGCCAGCGTCGACAGCCCGTCCCGCAGCTGCTGCAGCTCCAGCTCCGCCTCGGCCGCCCGCTCCTCCGCCGCGCCCGCCCGCGCCGCCTGCTCGCGCCGCGCCGCCTCAAGGTCTTCCTCCAGCCGGACGATCCGCGAACGCCGCCCATCACCGCCAGCGCCGGCGTCCACGTCGTCGTCCGCTGCCGCTCCGGCGCTGGCCCCCTTCCTGCCCAAGGCTGCATCGGCCGCCTCCAGCGCAGCCACTCGGTCGACAAACCCGACCAGCTCCTGTTCGCCCAGTTGCGCCAGCTCTGCTCCGGGCACCAGCGCCGTACCCGCCGCTTCCGGCCCACGAGCGTCACGTCGCGGCTGCCCTGGTTGCACAGGCACGGGCGCTTGCACCGCCGCCGGCGCGGGGGCGGCGCCCACGTCTCCAGGGTCAAAGTGGCTGAGGAGGGCGTTCAGGTGCTGCTCAAACGCATCCACCGCCCTCAGCGACCCGGCGCGACGGCCGGGCGCGCCCGGCTCGGGCGCCGCCTCCGGCTGCTCGAGCGCGTCTCTCATGTCACCGCGCCCCCGCTGCTCCCGCTCTTGAACCTGCTGCTGCGGCTGCTCCTTCTGCTGTTCCACAGCATCCGCCCGTCGCTGCCTCTCCAAAAACTCGTCTTCAAGGATCGCCACCCTCGCCTCCAGCGCGCCTGCGGTGAGCGCGTCCAGCGGCGCAGCCTCCCTCAGCTCACGAAGGCCCCCCTCAACACCATCCAGCCGCGCCTCGAGCCGCAAAAGCGCGTCCTCAGCCTCAACAGGCTCGATGCAGTCGACTTCGCCGCCGCCGCCGCCACCGCTGCCAAAGCTGCTGGGCTCCCCCCGCCCAAATGGTCGCGGCTGCCGCCAGGACGACCGCGCCGGCGCGCACGCGCGCGGCGTCGCCGTCTCCGACGTGCTGGGGGCCATCGCCGCGCACTCGATCAAGGCGCAGCCGCCGCCGCTGATCATCGCGGCAAAGGCGGCAGCGGCCGCCGCGCCATGGGCCGCTGCACGCGCTGCCCCGGCGATGCTGTGCCGGCCGCTCGTGCCCGCAGCAAGTTCCTCTTGCCGATGCTCCTTCTGCTGCTGCTGCTGCTCCTGCTCCTGCTCCTGCTGCTGCTGCTGCTGCTGCTGCTGCTGCTCCTGCTGCTGCTCAATGGCTAGCAGCCGTGCATCCATTTCAGCCATCCACCCCGCCGCCCGCTCCTCCAGCCCCTCCACCCGCGCCAGCAACCCCGAAAGGTTTTGGCCCGCGGCCTCGCTGCCCGCCGCGAGCTCGCTTTGCAGCCGCCACTGCCCCTCCCGCAGCTCGCCGAAGCCCTCTTGCGCCGCATCAGCCCTCGCCTCGAGGCCCCGCAGAGTGCTGGACAAGCCCCCCAGCTCTCGCGCCAGCCGCGCCTCGGCGCCGCGCGCGGTCGACGAGGCGGCCTCGAGGGCGGCGACGCGGCCCTCCATCGCCGCGGCAGCTGCGGATGGGGGCGCAGTACAAAGCATGCAGGTTGAGCGCCCTTGCCTTGCGTCCGCACAACAGGGGCGGCGCGGCTTTTGCCTCACGAATTCGAGCTGTTTTGCTAGTCAAGAAAAGGAGCAGCGGCGGCGGCCGCAGCGGCGGCGGCGGCGGCAGCAACAGCAGCAACAACATCATCATCAGCAGCAGCAGTAACCGAAACAGCATCAGTTCAGCACGGCCGCCGTGCGCACCAAAGCGGCCACGCACCTGCATCGTCGGCGCCGTCGCGCCCCAGCTCCAGCCCCCGCAGCCGCCCGTCCAGCTCTGCCACGCGCGCCAGCAGCTCGGACCGCGCCCCCGCAGCCGCGCGGCCCGCGGCCTCGGCCTTGCGCAGCACGACGCCAAGCACCTGCTCCTGCGCTGCCGCCGCGCCCGCCGCCGCCGCAGCGGCGCCTGGGTCGGGTTTAGAGGCGGCGGTCGCTTCGGCCACCGCAATTGCGACTGCCTGGACGATCTGTTGCTGCATGGCTGCCATCACACGCGCCTCCACCTGCGCGGCCAGCTGCTGCAGCGACGCCGCCGCCGCGGGCGCCTCTGCCACATCAGCGTGGCTGCGCCCGACAGCGGCCCTTGCGGCAGCCGGCTCCGGCGCCGGCGCCGCTGGCGCCTCGTCGTCTGCGACGCATTTTTTGCAGTTGGCACGGAGTTGTGCGTTGGTGTGCGCTGCTGGGTGTGCCGTGAGCGTACCAAGCCGCCCCTTCTTCACAACGCTCACCATCACGAGCGCCGCTGTAGGTTCTCGCCGCGCCAGTGCGCCTGTGGATGGTGCTCGGCACCGACGGCCTGGTGTGTGTCGAGCGAGGCGCGTCGGCGCCGCCCCATGCGGCTCCTCCGCGCGCGAGCCAGTGGGCGCCGCTGCGGCTGGAGCCGAGCTGCTGGGCCGCGGCGACCTCCTCGCGCAGCTGTGTTAGGGAGCCCTGCGCAACAATCCCGCAGCGGCTGCATCATATCAAGGCACACTGTTGTGCTCCTCATCAGCATGCAGCGTGTTGGGAGTGCTCGCGCAGCGGTGCAGCGTGTGCGTGCGCGTTCAACGCACACAAGTGGAGTGCGCGGAGGCGTACCTGGGCGGCAGTCAATAGGGAACCGAATTCGGTGGGCGTCGTAGAATGCCTCGCGGCGATCTGTGTTGAGAAGCGAGTGTCTTCAGCGATGGAGTCAAACTGCGAACACCACTGCCGACGCGGTGTGCGGGGCTCACGTGGCGCTCCAAGCGCTGCCAGTGTTTGCTCAGGACTTCATCGGTGGACTCCATCGAAGACCCCAGGCGGCGCTCATAAGCTGCGTTGCCACCTGCTCCTTCGTTGGCTTGAAGAGATCAGCCCATGTTGTATGAGGGGCGGCGTGTGCTTGTAATTAAAACCAAATATATTACACATGCACGCAGCCAGGTGGGAAGCATGAACGGCGTGAGCTGAAGTTGTGTTGGCACCAGCTTGGGCTGGTCAGCAGCTTTGTGTTGACAACAGTGCTGCATGGGCTGAGGCACTGCCGCCGCCGAAGGTGCGCCGCCGCCAAAGGTGGGTTCAATGCAAACTCAAAGGTGGATGGCCATCAGCTCTAGTGTCTGGTCCCAGGGCTTGATTGCATGTGCGTGCGAGACGCCTGCGGCCGCCCGCCTGCAGGTTCGAGGCCATCCCCTCGAGCTGCAGAAACCTGCCAAGGGTAGCACTCATCAGACTTTCGCGCAGGGCATGCGCGCTTACAACTACGCTCACGCGCTCTGCCACTGGGTTGTCGGCACTGTTGATGACGCTTTTGTTGACATGTGCACCACGCCTGTTTTCTTGTTGCTTCCCAGATGTTGCAGCCAAGTGTGATGTTACATGGCTGTGGCGGCACGATTGTTGTGTCATACTGGCTCGAATGCTCAAGCACACAGCCCCAGTGCAAGGCCGACCCCATCCATTGCCAAGCAGGCGCAGACGCGCGTCAACGATGGGTCAATGGCGCGTAGGACAATTGGCGTGTATGTTTGGGCATGTATATGTGCACACGACGATGCCCTGTGATGGCCAACAGCTCGCCACCAGCAGCTCTGGTACCAGGCACGAATTACCCTGCAGCTTTGTCAGCAATCAGAGTACCGCATCGCCACACCACCTGCCATGTGCGGTGGCATGCAGGCCGGCCGGCTGACAAGGCAGCAGTTTGTGTGGGGCAGCGGGTGGCACCCCTAGAAGACCCGCTCCCCCACGGACCAGTCCCCGAACTCGTCAATCCACATCGCCACCAGCCGGCCGCCGCGCTTGATGATGTCTTTGTACTCGCCAGCCCCCATCCAGCAGCCGGCCGGCTTCGGGCGGCGGGGGCCGGGGTAGGCCTCGGCGAGGGCGGCCTGCTCGGCCTCGAAAGCCGCCCACGCGTCCGCCTTGGCGCCCTTGAGGCGCGGCTGGTCTGCGAGGCGCTTGTACGAGAGGCCTCCAAGGCCGCCTGCGGGCCTGCGGGGCGCGGCCGCCTTCTTGGCGGGCCCGGGGGCGCGAGCCTTCGGGCGTGGCGCGGCGGGCGCCTTCGTGGGCGGGGCGCGCGCCTTGAGCTTGGCGGGCGCCTTGGGTGTGGTCTTGTGCGCGACCTGCTTCTTCAGGGCCTTCTTGTCGGCGCCGGGCGCGGCCTTCTTTACCATCGCGGACGTGTTTCGCCTGGGGCAACCCTGTGTGGTGAGGGTGGCCAAGGTGCGCGACATGCGTACGCGGTCAGCGTGGTGATGTGGCTCAGGCTGGGCGCGCAGCACGGGCGGGCGACACGCCATCGTCCCCTTGGAGGAGTCTTGGTGCTAAAATGTTTTCATTGTGTGTCAAAGGTAACCTCAACTACCTCAAAGTCATAGTCGGCCGTCAACGGCCTACCGGGGACTCGCAGTAGCAAGTGTGCGGCAAGCAGCAGGGTGCACAAAGCGAGTGCGGTATCCCTGAATTCACCCAATCCACCGGTACTCGCATCCTACATCACCTGAGCGCGACGGCGCGTCGACCAGTGCCGCAGACGGGTGCACGGGTCTGATTCTGAGCTTGGGCTGTTGAAAGCTGGCACTAGGGGGCAAAGGCGCGCAGCGTGTGCAAAATAACAACATACTCGTAATTGGTGTGCGGTAGTCGAGGATGAAACGGGTGCTTGCGGAAAACTTTCGGCGCTTTTGTCGAGGGAGTCGAGGGCACTACTAGGTATTGTAATAGTCTCGCTGGTGCCTCAACGAATTATTGACGGGATTTCTGCCGGACTTGGTGTTTGACGGCTCACATTGTGCAAGCGGCATCTCCAACCCCGCCAACGTGCCAGCGCAGCACGCGCACAATCTGACCTGCATGGTGGGGCTGCTCATCGTGGTTAACTGCTAGTGAGTTGGTTACCACACAAGGACGTTGTGCGCATGTGTGCGCGTGCAGGGTGGCAGGCGGCGGGCGGCCGGGACGTGCTGCCGACCGGGCGGGGGCACGAAAACAAGGAAAGGGTTTTGGGCGCCCTCTCAGCTCCCTGAGGCTCACTGGCCCCTCTCATGATCTCACTCGGCAAACCACATCAAAAGTGCTGCATATGCTGGATCAACAGTAGCGCCAAAGGGAGAAAGGCGACCATCCAGGCATCAAGTAACGGGAGTGGTGCACATGCACAATGGCAACGCACTCGAGCATTGTTTGAGGACGGCTGTCGCCGTCCGACCATCTGTAAATCAGTCACAAGACACGCTGCTGCACAACTCGAGGAAACACAGAAAGTGACGTCGCGAGGCCACACAACAGGAAGCGGCTTGCTAAGCAACGCGCGACATGGCAGCGGCGCCAATGAAGCGTCGCAAGGCCGTACAATAGGAAAGCAGCCTGCAAAGCAATGCGCGACATGGCACCAGGGTCCACGGAGCGAGCAGGTGTTCTAAGTGTTGGGCGATATCTATTGCCAACGGGAACATGAGAGGGGGGTATGTATGGGGACGGCACCAGGAGATAAGCAGAAGCTGTGTGGAAGATGGTGGGATTGATGTTCAGCTCGGCTACACGCATCAACAAACAACACGGCCAGGCAAAAATTTCAATCAACCGCGGACAAAAAGGGAGCACGACTGCCCAAGGCCGGATCCAGAAAACGGGGTCGCCGCAGACATACGCGCATCAGAACGCGCCGGCCAGCAGCCGCTCCCGCTTTTCGAGCTGCGCGACCTGCAGGTAGCTGGCGATCAGCAGCGCGCCGAACGCCGCCGCGCCAGCGAAGCAGAGGGCAGCCCCGGTGGTGGCAGCGCTGACGGACAGCACAGTGCCGACGTTGACCAGGGTCGACGCGACCAGCGCGCTGCTGATCACCTTCTGCCAAGCCTGCAAGAACGATGGGGAGCAGTGCTGAGCCTGACAATCGTGATCAGGAGGGACGGCGAAGCATGGGCGTGTGCCAGGGGCACAGCCGCGGGCCGCCGGGCGCGACCACGCGGCAACCAGAGCTGACACACGAGACGCGCCTCAGTGCCGTCACGCGCCTTTGGCGCAGGCCCCGACACTTCCCGACCCCCAAACCCTCCCCTCGTGCGTTTCCCCCGCGCACCTGCACCCGCTGCAGCGCGCGCTCCGCCTCCAGCGCCCTGACCCTCAGCTTCAGGTCCCCGCTCTCCAGCCGACTGATGACACCGCCAATGTCCTCCAGCCGATTGGGCGACTTGAACAGGTTGGCCACCGCGCGGTTCTGCGGGGCGTGCGTCAACAGCGTGGGGCGGCGCGAGTGATGACAAGTGACAGCGGTCAGCACGAGGTGCAAGGGGCCGACCAGAGGCCATGCAGCGCTTGATGCCCTGTGCGGCGTGCTGCCTTGAAAGTGAATGCCCCGAGGGTTGCCCGTCGCTAAGGCATTTTCCTGGCCAACCATGGCTGCCCCGCACTCCCTGCGTGCCCTGAGTCACGTGAGGTGCACCCGCGGGCCACTACAAGGTCACGCCCAGCGCACGCCCTTTCACAATTCATACCTGGTTGGCGACACGCCGCTTAAAGTCCTCCGCTATCTGGGCAAACTTTGGCGCGGCCTCCAGCAGCAGCTCGCGTGCGTAGGGCGCCGCCAGCTCTGTCATGTCAAACCTGTTGAGGGTTGACAAGGGGGAGGGGGCGGCGGTTGGTTGCGATTGCTCGTTGGCTGAGGAAGGCCTCACTGCGCTAATGCATGAAGTGTGTCTTTGATTAACCTCCAAGTCGTGCGTGGTTGTCTATCGGATAGCTGAACTGCAGCTGTTGCTGAAAATGCAGACAGTTTCAGATATTGGCGGGGATGCAAATGTGCTGCTGTCCAGCGCATGTGAGAGCATGATGGCAAGCGCCAGCAACAACGAATGGCGCAAGCAAAGTCATGAGCGCCACAGGGCGCATGCAAGCTCCTCACGACCCTGCCCAGGGCACGGCTGCGCGGCATCATGAGGCAAAGAGTGCTGGGTGCCCTCACCGCGGGTCCAGCGTCTTGCCGATGCCGTCAAGCACTGTGAAAGAGCGCACCACAAAGGTGAAGGTGGCCGGGAAGCGGAACGGCTGGCCGGCCGCGGCCACCAGGATCTCCTGGAGTTGTCAATTGGGGTATGAGTGGTGGGGTTTTGAGCTCCAGCAATGTGCTAGTCAACAAGACCGGTGATTAATTGACTTTGGTGGATGCATGCAGGTTGCGACCTGAGGGGCACCAAGGACTCCGAGGTGTTAATCAGCCCCACCTGCTTCCACACTTGGGGTCAATTCATACAGGCCTTGGAGATTTTGGAATGCCACGAGCCCTGTCCCCGTGCCCATCCCTGCTGTGCATCCGTGCCCCACCGCAACAAACACATCGAGCACCTGCCCACTCAAAAAACCTCTGCGCCCCCCACCTCTCCGATGTTAGCAATGGCCAGCTTCTTCTGCCGCTCCATCTCCTGCTTGTTCTCCTCCGCGCTCCAGTCCGCGTTGTACCCCGCCCCCTTGGCCTTGCGCTCCTCCCGCTGCGCCACGAGGCGCTGGTTGAAAGTGGTAAGCAGGTACTGCGCCGTCCGCCGGATGGCCTGGCGCTCGCCGGTGGGCACCTGGCGGGCAGCAGCGGGGTACGCGGGCCAAGGCGGGCGGCGTACGGTGCGTGGTCAAAGGCGGTCAACGCCACGGCCAGCGGCTGGGCTAGTTGGCCGCGGCTGGTCGGTCGCAGCCTCCGCGGATGCCGGGCGCGAAGGGAGTCGTGCGGCTACCGCCGAGCTGCAGACCACCAGCTGTCCAGATGAAACGCATCCAGGATCTCGCGCCTGCCCGTCCGCCCGCCCAATCAGCGACTCCCCAATTAGACCATCCCTGCGGCGGGCCCAGGGCGCGGACTGTCGGACTGACACCCACCAGGACGCCCATGGCGATGAGCGCGTCCAGGCATCTGTCCGCGTCGAGGTTGTACACGCCATAGAACAGCTCCATCAGGCCGCCCCGCACGTCCCCAGGAATGCGCCCCATCATGCCTTCAGTTCAAGAGGGAGATGACGGCGAGCCGTGGCGAGGGCGGTCATGTGGGTGATGTTTGCACGCAGGCGTTGCTGGGGGTGTTGTGCGTAAATGCAGGGCGGCCGACGCATCGCGCTGGAGCGCTGAATGGCGCGCACAGCTGCGAGCACTACTTGGCTCCGCGCAGCCGGTGAGGCTGAGGTTGGCAGGTGCGCGCACGCAAGTATGGCTGTGTGTTGAATCAGCCGATAGCTCTCCACGGGTTGAATGCCCGACTTTCTCGACGCTTCGTATGGGCCCTCACCAAAGTCGTAGTAGATGAGCTTGCCGGTGGAGTCGACTGCCACGTTGCCAGGGTGGGGGTCCGCCTGGGCGGGTTAAGGGGCCCGCAGCAGGGCAAGGCTTGTTAGGGGGAAGGATTGACGCGGCCCGCCGACCGCTGGTACTGCGCCAGGCCGCCTACGTATGCAAGCAGCAGGAGCTCCACCTGCTCTAGAATCTGTTGCGCGTATGAACGCGACGCCACCCGCAGCACAACCAGGGCGACAAAGCGCCGGTCATAAGTACAATCACCCGTCCCCATTTGGCTCGCATGGAAGGAGCCAAGCCCGGGATATGCAGCTGCGAGTAGCCACAGCCCCAACACCGCATCCTCCGCACCGCCACCCAAGCAACCCCCGAAACCGCTACACCGCCAACCAAATCACGCCAAAGACAGCCGCCGGCCCGCCAATTCAAAGGGGGCCCCCGAATCCGCCGAGCGGCTCACGTGGAAGAAGCCGTGCCGCAGTATTTGCTGGAGGTAAGACTCCACCGCCAGCTTGGCCACGCGCTGCCTGTCCAGCCCCATGCGCTCCAGGGCAGCGCCGTCGTTGACCTTGACCCCCGGGGCATACTCCAGCACCAGCACCTCGGACGTGCTGTACTGCCGGTACACCTTGGGTACCTGGGGGTGCAGAGTGTGCACGCATGGGTGTATGCATGGGTGCGCGCATGGTTGCGCGTGCATGGGTGCGTTTGTTGGTGCATGCGTGCGTTCGTGGGTGCGCTCCTGCAACAAGTGCGTTGCGTCGATAAAGGGTTGCCCTCCCCTCAAAATGGAGGGGCGAGGAGCTGGGGGCAGGCCAATGATGTCGTCGCGGCTACATCCGTCGTCGACATGATTGGCCAGCCCCCGCTGCAGAAACAAGGTCGGCGCCCGACTTGGTGGTCATGCGGGCGCCCAGGCAGGTCTGGCGCCCTGGCTGGCGAGGCGAGCGCGCTCGGCGATGCCTCCCCGCGGCCGCGCGCACCTTGACCCAATCCAGGTCCCTGAAATTCCGCTGGAACTCGTTGGCGTTCTCCGCCTCAAGCACATAGTCGATCTTCAGCGTGTGGCCGGGCGAGGGGCGGCGACGTGACTATGGTGGCAGCAGGGCACCCATGCAAGCAAATGCCTCGACTGCCAACACAGCAGCCCTGCAGTATGCACCACGCCTAAAGCGCACCCCTCCCTCTCTAGAACAGCTGACCTCCTGGTACAGAATGCGGCCGCACTCGTCGTAGATCGACACCCAGTCGCGCGCGGCGCCGTCCGCCCCGGAGTCCACCGCTTGCAGCCACACCGCCAGCGCCCTGCGGGGACGTAGAGGAGGCGTCGCAGCGGCGACGCGTGCTGTTGGCGCGCGGGTCCGCTTGTGGGCTAGAAGATGCCTTCCCGCCCTCGCCGCAACATCCTCGTCGCTCGTGCTCTGCACATTATATGGGCCAGATTCTACGATCCTGCACTGCTAGCACTGTGCAAGGCAGCTGCATGCCTCGTCACAGCTCTTGGTCTCTGCTCCTTCAGGCCCCCGCACACATGGATCCAACCCACAACACTTGTCACACCGTAGTCTGTGCCACCCTCACCGCATGTTCGGAACGCCTACCCAAAGGAGCTGAACAGAACAAACCCTCCTCACCTACTGCACTGGCACCTGAAATGCAGGCAGCACGCGCCGACGCACGCACGCACACGCGCGCGCACACGATACTCACTAACAGCACCCTCGCGCTCACCGGATGTTCTTGAGATCAATGTCAAAGAGCTCCTTGAGCCCCGGCCGCTGCACCTTCACCACCACCCGCTCCCCACTCTCCAGCTTGGCCAGGTGCACCTGCGGGGCCGCAGGGTGGCGACGACGCGGCAGCCGTGAGAGAGGCACATCGTAGCAGACGGGACGGCTGCGCCAGCCGCAGGCCGCGCAACGCCCGACCGCGGCGGGGAGCGCTCTTGGCGCCAAGGTAACGGGCGACCGCGGCGCGCCGAGGTGGGCCGTCCCAGCTGCTGGGCACGGCGCAGAGCCTGCTGCGCGGCGCCCACCTGGCCCAGGCTGGCAGCAGCAATGGGGGTCGAGTCGAACTCTGCAAACACCTCGTGAGGTGGTGCCCCCAGGTTGGACTCAAGTATCTGCATGGCGGTGGCGCTGTCAAATGGCGGCACGTTGTCCTGCAAACGAGCGGAGATTACAGGTCAATGAGGGGACCAGGTGGCAAGAAGTGAGGTAGCGAGAATCAACAGAGGCGGTGACTTAGCCGCCTCCTCTGGCTGCCGCCTGCCTGCGTGCCCGGCCGCGCGGCAGCGCCGCGCCTGGCCGCCGAGAGCAATGCGCACTGCGCAGAAGCGGGACCCTGCCCCAGGGACCCGCCCATCAGGCCTGCGCCAGCCGCTGGCCGTGGTTGGGTCCTCACCTGCAGCTTCTCCAGCTCCTTCACAAACTCTGGCGACAGCACGTCCACGCGCGTGCTGAATTGCTGCCCTATCTTAATGAAGGTCGGCTGCAGGGGCGAGAGTCGGGAGGATGGAGGGCCGCGGAGGGGCTGAGCTGGACAGCGACGGCCAAGTGGGCCGCTGGACGCGGCGAGCGGTTTGCGGCGGAAAACGGCTGCATGGTCATGCCCGCAACGCATGACGGGCCCCACCACACAAGCCGTCGCACGCCTGCCAAAACACGCGCGCACGTGCGTGCATGCACGCAACATCCCTGCGTTTTGGACAACCCCCCGCCCGTCCCGCTCCGCAGCCGGCCGTGGCGCTCACCCCCAGCTTGACCAACCCCTCCCGCAGCCACACCGCCAGCTCGCGCTTGCGCCTGCTGACAGCATCTGACGTCATCCCTTTCCTGCCGCCCTTGTAGCTCCAGGCCTTGCCCAGCAGAAAGTATCTCCAGGCAAACGCAAAAGCGAACGCCCAGATTGCGAAGGTGCGCTGCGGTAGGGGGACGTAGGCGGTAAATACGCATGGATGCGTGCAGGTGAGCGCCAGCGCGTGTAGGTGTGCGCCGGCAGGGTGCCCTGGCAAGGATAAGCCTGTGGAACAATCAGGTCTGCCTGCGGTGCAACTGGCTTTATCCTGCTCAGCATCATGCATCCTGCGTGGCGGCAGTGCAAGCCCCGCGCTTGCCCACCTGCCAAACCGAGTAAGCCTTGAACTTGGCCCAGCGCCCGCCTGGGCTGCGATACGGTGTCCCAGCGGCACTGCGCCCCGCCGCCCCGCGCGCCGCTGCCTCGCCCGCCGCTGCCGCGCCCGCTGCCGCCACGGCCCCCTCCACTGCCTCGCCTGCCGCGGCCGCCGTTGCGGCTGCTCCTGTCACTGCCGCGAGCTCGAGGTGCCCCGCGGCCGCAGCCATCTGGTCTTCGTCGATGGTGTTCAGCAGCGAGTCGCGGTGAGCCCGAAAGGCGCCGCCCCTGCCGTTGCCGCTGCTGCTGCCGCTTGTGGCCCGTGGGGCGACGGTGGGAGCGGCGCCGTTTGCAGCCCGCCCGACGGCTGCGGCGCCTGTCACAGCTGCCAACTCCAGGTGGCCAGCTGCCACAGCATCCTGGGAACCGTCTATGGTGCCGAGCACCCCGTTGCCGGCGTGCTTGCCGCGCCCATTGCTGCTGCCATTGCCGCTCGTGTGCAGCTTGAGGGTCGCAGCGGCGGTGGCGGCGCCGTTGCTGCTGGGCGCGCCGTTGGTGCTGTACCCGTCGCTTCCGGCGCTGTTGGCGGCGCTGATGTCATCCAGGCGCACGGCCTGCGTGGTGGTGCGCGGCCCGCACGCAAGCGGTGGTGATTGCAGTGGTATTTTGCATTGCGACAATCCTGTGCAGGAGCTGCGCAGGGGCCCTGCCAGAGCGCCGCGCCAGCCGTGCTCTGCTGCGTCAGGTCGCAGGCGATGCACAGGCATCTCCCATCTACCCGTCGTGCTGGCCTGGGCTTGCTGACATGCCCAAACTCACTTCATGAACCCTCACGCGCATCCTCTGAGAACTCCGAATCAGGCCAGGTAGAGGTCTGCGCGCAGGGCCCGCGGCCCGGCCGTGCACCAACCCCGAAGGCCTGGAGGCCGGCACGGACCGAGCGCACATGTTTGGTCTAGCCATTCCCAATAACATGGCTGCGCGGGCACTCCGGCCCGGTCTGTCGGCTCCGAGAGGAGATCGAGTCCAACGCTTGTCCCGGCCAAAGAGGCTGAGTGTCAGTGGTAGCTTTAACCAAATGCAAGATCCAGCACCATAGAACGACGCATGAAGGCGTCCCTTGCGAATAGTGCGTGCAATGTCACCAGGTGACCGCCTCGTGACCAGTTGCGTCCCGCACCCTCAAACTACTTGTGCACATGTTCATCACAGCCGCAGTATCTGCCTCATTGGTGCGTATGCCGCTTGATTATGTTGCCCTCGATCTAGAGCGATTTCAAACGCGGTTGGCAACAAAGAGCTGCAGAACCGCTGTCAGCACGCAACCAACAGGGGCTCTTTAGGTCTGGTAAACACCCTCATGTGCGTATAGTAAGACGGCAGCTGTAACCTTGCATGTGGCAGGCACTGCTGCACACTTGCAGCGCGCCGCTGCACGTTTCACATACTCTGCAATGCCCTCGCACTTCACTGCGCGTCGCCCACGCAGCGCGTCGCCCACGCAGCCTGCGCAATGAACGCACTGCACAATCGCATGGCAAAGGAGATCAAAACGCTGCGCAAGAAGCCGCCGGAGGGCGTGTGCGTGTGGCAGGCCGATGGGGCGTGCGTGACGCGGCTGTGCGCCCAGGTGCAAGGCCCTGCCGGCACTGTGTACGAGGCGGGCGTGTTCAGGCTCAATGTGGATGTGCCGGAACGGTACGCTATGGACTGCAGAGGACGACTCGTGCGCAGCGGATGCATGCAGCTTATTGCAATGCACCCCGCGCGCACAGTGTTGTGCCAGCCTGTGCGAGGGCCGGTGGAAGCGACACACGGCTGGTGTGTGCGGCTGCACCATGACCCATGAGCGCTGCCGAGCAGCACACCACACGTTGAAGCGCTCACCCTGTCGGCCGCACTGCAGGTATCCGTTTGAGCCCCCCAAGGTGACGTTTGCGACGCGCGTGTACCACCCCAACATCGACTCCAGCGGCCGTATCTGCCTCGACATCCTCGACCTGCCGCCCAAGGTGCGGCAACGCGACCGCGCGGCGCCCGAGCACGCTGGGGTCCTTGAGCCCGTACTGCTTGCTCACATGTACAGCGTCGGCCCGGGCAATGGTGACTGCGTCTTTCTTCCGGCCCCAGCACCCAGCAACCCGACCACTGCGCACCCCAGTACCCTTGGGTCTGCACTCACCTGGCCAAAAAACTCCTCTCTATGTGATCGCCAGGGATCCTGGCGGCCATCGCTCAACCTGGTCATGGTGCTGGCGGCTGTGCGGCAGCTGCTGGCCGAGCCCAACCCTGACGACCCCCTTGACCAAGACGCAACCGAGGCTTACCTGCGGAACCGGCCGCTGTTCGACAGCGCCGCGCGCCGCATGGTGGCCGAGCACGCGGCGGGCCGGGGCGGCAGCAATGGTGGAGCGTCAGAGGCAGCAGCAGACGGGACACTGCTGGGGGCCAGCTCCAGCTGCGGCAACAACGGAGATAAGGCAGGAGTGGCGCCGACCGAGGGCATGGCGGCTAGCAGCCGGGTGCAGCAGGACTCGAGTGGCACGGCAGCGGGCCCAAGCGGCGCCAGCGGCAGTGCTGTTGGCGGGAGCAACGTCGCTAGCGATGGTGGTCGTGGCGATGGTGGCGACGGTGCTCATGGCAGGGTCGGTCGTCCTGAGTTGTGCAGCATCGACGATGTGCCAGCAAGCCCAGGAGGCCCACCGCGGAAGGTGGCACGCGTGCAGTAAAGAACCCTCAACCACAGGCCCTGTGTGATGTGCGACCCGGATGCACGCAGTGCAGCGGCTCACTTTGGCCGATGCTCAGCGGATGTTCAAACATGAGGCGGCAGCTGCATGGACAATTGCTTGGCGAGCTCAGGCCACGCACTCGCACCGTTCCTGTCGTCACGCTTTCGCTTATGTGCCAAAACGAGAGTGCAAGGCAAAGTGCTCATCGCAGGATTTGCTGGGGTTGGCCTTGCACTGCTGGTGTTGCAGCGCAAACCTTATGCGAGGCTCATGTGCCGTCTCCAAGAACACCGATGATGGTCAGAGAAACGGTGGCCCGCTGATGCAGTGAATGAGGCCTCAGATCGCCGATGTCTCAGGTGCGTATGGGTGCACCTGTCGCCAGCTGCCAAGGGGCACGCGCGAGACGTGAAGCAAGTGAGCCTGTGCTTGATATCACACGTCTCCTAGAACCGGGTGAAGAAAGGCTGGAGCACTTTCAAATGGGTGCGGCCACTCTGTCGACCAGGCGCGCACCCAGCCACATATCACGACTGAGGGATTGGTGATTGCTGCTTGGTACGCGCGCTGCTGCAGCTGCAGGCCAAAGGCGGTGTGAGCGCGGCGGCAGCGCCTTGTGCCGATTGGGGTGTCGAGGAGCTGCAGGCGTTTTACCGCGCCTACCACGAGCATGGCGCTCGTTGGGAGCAGGTATGGGGGAATTGCACAAGCGAGACAGGGCGACGCCGTGGCGGCGGGCACTCGCCTGTGCAAACTTGCCTGTGCTGTGGCAGCTGTCATCTCGCGCCGGCCGCTTTCGCTGCGCCCCGTGACCGCTCACGTCATCACCTACCCGTTCAATCCCCAATGAAACATGTCAGGTCGCAACTGCAGTTGGCAGCGGCAGGGGCGCGGGCGACTGCGAGCAGCTGCACTCGCTGTACCAAACATTTCTGGGCCTGCCCCACAGCCCGCAGCTCGAGGGCGCCTTCTCAGCCATGGTGATGGATGTGCAGCGCGCGGCCGCCGCAGCAGCAACAGCAGCACCGCAGCTTAACGGGCGCGGCCATAATGCAGGTGGCGACAGCGGCAGTGAGGCGGCAGCGATGCAGGTGGACGACCCCCCGAGCAGCGGCGATGGCGTCGGCGGCGTGGCGAAGCGCGGCCCCGGCGGTGCGGCAGGACCGCCCCCGCGGCCCGGCAGCGGGGGCGGCAAGCTGGGGGCGTCGCACAGCGGATCAGCGCCGTCGACGGACGCGCGGCACCAATGGGCGGAGGGCATGCAGCGGCCTCGGCAGCCGCTGATTAAGGAGGCGGAGGAGGGTGGAGGTGGCCACGGCGATGGTGATGGGGATGGCGAAATGGATGAGGAGGGGGACCTCTACTATGAAGAGGAGGAGGAGGAGGAGGGGGCCGCCTCGCCGAGCGGCGCGGACG